TGCAAATCACAGGATTATTATTATTATTATTATTTTTTGAGATAAGCAAATCGCATGATGTTAAAGACCAAAATTTCTCTACTTATAAAACTCATTTATGTTTTTTCTCACCCTTCTTCTTTTCTCTACTTGCATTCATCCCAGATTTGAGCTCCCAGTGGTCTTTAAAGATTATTTTTTGATAATTTCATTCTTCAAACCTGTACATTGATATTATTTGGTGCAATGTCGTCATGGCAATCAAGTGGGGAAAACCTTTCAGGGTTTTCTGGATTTCCTAAAGCTATTCTGTAAGTAAAATTTTCAAACTTATTCGGAAGTTTATGAAATTTACCCAAAAAATGTTAAAAAAAATCATAAAATAAGAGAGGAAGAAATTAAGGAAGGGATTTAGATCTCAAGGGTATCCTTCATATATATGCTGGAATAGTAATAATAATTTGCCCTTGAACATCCAATACATATTATGTAATAATATTGTAATGTTAATAAATTTAATTGTTGCACATAATTTAGGTATTATTTATATAATTGTTATATATATCCTTAGAAGTTATTTTGTTAGATCATGCACTGTGATGGTCACTTGCTTAGAGATATGATCTAACTTAGAAATTTCTTAATTTTGTGCTTAACCTATAACTAGTAAATGAAAACTTTGTTATAACAGGTTATTATGCATGACACTGATATATAAGATATGGTCGTGGGCCTCAACCATCGGGAATGGAGATTCTCCGGGTGTATGTCATAAGCACGCATTATGATGTGTGTAGCACTAGACCGTATTTGAATTCTATAGGATGAGTCACTTAAGAGATAGAGAATTCAAATTGTTACATGGTCCCTTTGACTTGATGATATTGTCATTTTCGATTTGATAATTTAGTATGCTTTGACGTGATGGTTAAGCTTGTTTAGCAAGCGCTACACAACCTGAAACATTGGGTTGCTAAATTTCATTTAGGAAAATGATGGATGTCTAGATAGGATCCAGTATGCTTATTATGATGAGTTAATTTATTATGCATTCCCATGAAGCTATTAAATTCCTGCCGGCAGGTGGTTTTGAAAATATTTTTAAAAAATTTACTCTCTTATAAAAATAAAATATTTTGATGTTTCAAAATGATTTTTATTTATGTTCATGAGAATTGCAAATTTAGGCATGAGCAAATATGTGAGTTGTCCTGCTTAAAAGAGTTGCGTAAAATAAATGATACTGAAAGGGAGTGAATGTAAGATATTATTTAATCCCATATTATGGAAGAGCTTTTATGAACAGTTGGTCGGATAGGGATTTGATTGTTAAATTAAAATTATTAATTTGATTAATAATTGGTTCTCGATATGGGACCCAATTGGTCTCACTAATGTCATTAGAAGAGGTATACATGCAATGCAATTCTATTTCTATCCTTAATTGTTATGGATAAAGTTTTTAAACAAATATATTCTATTTTTAATTGTTATGGATAGAGTTCTAAATAATTATGAATTGTTTAAAGTTAAAATCTCTAAGACTAGTGTAATCCTATAAATAGGGTTCATATGTAGCCTTATGAGAGGAGATAGATGAGATTGAAACTCTTATGAAGATAATATGAAGAAATAGATTTTTGAGAACCTATCTCTCAGTATTGCTCCTCTACGGTGACGGATGGATTTTAATTGGAGGCTTTTTCTCTTGAGGAAGCTATTTCAGATTGATCTCGGGACAGATTATTATAGAAACTCGGAAAGCGTTTCAGGTATTCTTTTAGTTTTTAATCAATTTTGATTAATAGTCATGATATGCTATTTCCGCTATGTTGTATGTCATGATTCCAACAATATAGTACCCTCGAAAATCTTTTCTCAGCCACTTGAAAGGTATCAAACTAGGATTTGGATCCTCTTTACTATAAAAAAGAAGCGGACTCCACTACTTTTGGTCACAATTATTAATAATTTAGTGAATGATTGTGATTTATTCTAAATCTAACACTCACTATATCTCCCATATATGACACTCATTCCTAATTTGCACTCAAAGAAAAATCATAATTATCTGCTAGATAATTAATGTTATGATAATGTAGTGGTCTCTACACTACTTTTTTGGAGTGGAGAGAATCCGAATCCATCGAACTACAACTCTGTAATCAAAATTCATATACCACAATTTTTTAGTTTGAAAAAGAAACTGTGAGGTGGAAACTCCGAAGGTTTTCATTAAAAAAATTTAGGTAATTTCCCAATTAGGAAGAGATACAGACATGTGAAGGTATGCATATAGTTGATCTCACCAAATAATAATAATAACAACAAAAACGCTACCACGTATAGAGGAAAAATAAAACAACAAAACATAAAACCCCCGTAGGTCTGCTGAGCACGGTCACCGCCAAAACTCACATCTTCGTTCTCCAAACCAATTTGATATCGCTCACATGGGTTAATAGTCTTGTTGGTTTGTAAAAGAACTCTTTTCACCTTTCAGCCGCTCTTTTACGATTATGAATATATAAGTTGTCGTCAAGTTATGTGTAGAAAGCTATGGATAGTAATTGTTTCAAGAGACTTAAGGAGTACACATCCTACTGAAACCCCGCGCATTGTACAGGTCATTAGCTTTTGCAGAGAAGTGTCGAAGGGCATTTTTGGTAATTGTTGCTTGCCGTGCAGAAGTGTGCTCGACAACCAAACGAGTCGGTGAGCGATGAGAGAAGAGAATCAAACCAAATTACGAGTGCAATTCACCAAAATGTGATACAAATCAAACCAAATATAGGAATTTACGTGGTTTGGTAATTGCCTAAGTCCACGGGGAGAGGATGAGAAGATTTCACTATATTAAGGAGAAAAACAACGGGTTACAACTCACAAAATCACTCAAATATAACACTAACCAAAGCTCTCAACTCCCTCACAATATGTCCCTCTCAAAGTACTCAAAACAATGTTAATTCTCTCCTTAAGAAACCCTAAAAAAACTTGTTTCTATTTATAACAAAACACAATCCTAAATATGATAGGAATTTGAAAACGAGCCTGCCACACCTGGGTATGGCAGACACCACACCCTTGACAACAGGAGCAGATTCTGCCACACTTGGGTGTGGCAGACATCACACCTCTTCCGAATCTTCATGCTTGCCAATACTTTGAACAATTTAACGTTGTTTTCTATAATTCTTCAACTCGGCGAAGTGTTCCCAAAACTGAGCCGACACCAATATGAGCACTAATGCGTCGTCTCACCAAATACGGCTGCACCAATGTGGTTGCCTACGTATCCTCTCTCCCAAGGGATCAAGTCGCCTATATTTCATACAAATGACCGCAAACGACCTCAACAATCACGAATTTGCAACAAGTTTCTATAATGATCAAACTTGTTGCCCGTAATCACCTTTGTGAGCATATCTCCGCCGAATTATCTTTCGTGTGGACTTTTACAATCTCCACATATCCATCTTCGAGAACATCTCGAATGAAGTGATAACGAACGTTGATATGCTTCATCCTCGCATGAAAGACCTGATTCTTCACCAAATAAATAGTACTCATGCTATCACAATAAATGGTGACGGATCGCTGCAAAACACCAAGATCCTCCAAAAGTCCTTGAAGCCAAATCGCCTCCTTAACAGCCTCCATAATCGCCATATACTCTGCCTCTGTCGTCGACAAAACCACCATAGACTGCAAGGTGCATCTCCAACACACCGGCGCACAGATCAAAGTGAACACATACCCCATTGTCGACCGGCATTTATCTAAATTTTTAGCATAGTCTTAATCTACGTATCCAATACATAGCTGCCCACCGCTAGTGTCACGCTCAAAAATCAAACCAACATTGAGAATACCTCGAATGTACCTCAAAATTCATCTCACGGTATCCCAATGATCCGGACCCGGGTCTGTAGGGTGAAAATTTGATTCTTCCGAAGAAAGGAGTTTCGTTTGTATTTATAAGAAAGCTTATT